GTGAGTGATGCTGCTGGATGGGCCAGCGAGGCTTGGCCTGCTCGGCTCTCCACCACGTCCTGCACGACCGTGGGCCCCTAATTAGAAGCTGGCTCCTCTGGCTCTGGCAGCTGCCTTACAATTAATATTCCTCCTGCTAAGGGCCAGGATTTACTCCACTCAGCAGCAAACGAAGCACTCCATCAACTTTGAGCAGCATCAACATCCATGGAAATAGCAGTTGGAGTTGGGGAGTGGTGGCGGTGGGAAAGGAAAGGTGGAGACCATAGCGTTTTTCCTGATCCCTGGGTGATTGCTGGGAAAGGGGTGCAGTAAGGCTGTCGGCAGCAGCCAGAGGTGAAAAGATACTGCCGGTGGATGCAGCTGGGAATGATGTGTGGGAGCCTTGGGATGCTGAATCTGCCCTGCTGTCCTTACTGGCAAAAGCCAGGTGTTACCCCTGGGCTTGACCAGGTAGGCTGTGGAAATAGGATGGTGTTACGGCCTCGTAGTGGCCCCGAGCAGCCCTGCCTGCCCCTCTGAGCTCCGGGCAGGTGGGAAGATGGCCCTGATTTGTGCCCAGTGATGGGGGTTTTGCACAGCGAGGCCAGGTGTAGGGGGTCAGGGACCGACCTGGCTGACTGTCTCCACCATCCGCCGTGATCTTCATTTCCCAGAGAGCCAAAAGACTCCCAGGGGATGGGGAGAGGGAAGAGGAGGTTGGGAGCAGTTTGCAGGAGGGAGACGCTTATCTCCCCAGGGATCCCTCCATGCTGCTGCAAAGCAGGGCTGAGCTGCATCCCAGAATAACATGGCAGTGGCAGCTGGGGTCTGGCTGTCTCCCCCGGCCGGGGCTTTGCGCTGCCCAGCAGCCCTGCAGCCATCATGGCACCAGCGTGGGAGCTGCCAGGAGCCCGCGGATTGACCGTGCTTGTGCGGCTGTGATGCATTTTTGTTTTTAAGAGTTACACATTGGCTCTAATTCTCCAAGCGGTGCCTCGTTCTTGCTGGCCCAGAGGAGATGGAGCCTGGCTGGGGAAGAGGGAGATGAGGCATAGGCTTGAAACAACTGCTGTGCTTCTCCCTGTGGATTTATTTCTAGCAATGGTGGAGGCAGAAACGGCTCAGAGCTTGAAGAAAGCATTGGGAGTTTGGGCCAGTGGCAGCTGTTGGGAAAAGAGTCTTCTGCCATAGAAGTTGCATGCAGGTGGACTGGCATATCTGAGAAAGGGCTTTTTTTTTTTTTTTTAAAAAAAAGATTTGTCAGTAACAGACAAGTGTGCTACAGACTGGGGTACCGTGAGGTCTGTCTCTAGGGGTTTCTTTCCAGAGAAGGACGGTGGAGAACTGTTGCCTGTTTTCCCCTCTCCCACAACCAGGGCTGCCCTGAGGTTTATGAGTCACTTGTATTTGGCTAGTTGGCCACGAGAAGAGGGTTCCTGGGCTGCCTTCTCCGCCTGTGCACTCGGCACGTGGCAGAGTAGGTGTCTTGTACACACACATCTCCATAGCCCTGCCAGCGGGTCCTGGTCTGGTGCTGGGGTGCCTGCTCATGAGGAGGGGTTTGGGAGATGTGGGTTTAGTCCTTTCTGGCTGATCAGGAGCACTCATGGGAGCGATCGTGCCAGAGTAGGGACCTCCTTCACTGAGAGCCCCAGCAATGTCCTCTTCCTCCTCACTCCTTTTGCCTCCCCTAGACGTCTTCTGACCGCAGCGGGAAGAGCTCCCCGTCCTTTTCTGCTGCTCTTCTGGGAGTCGTGTGGACCTTCCTGACCGGAGGAGTCCTGCTAGTGCTCTTCTTCCTTGTCTTCACAATTCGCTTCAGGAAAAACAGGTAAGGGCTTCCCTCTTCTGCCGTGAGAGCTGCCCTGAGCTGGAGCGGTGGCGTGGGGCTCCTTCAGGGCAGGCTCTGAGCTGATGGCTGGCTAAGGGGCAAGAGGGTACAAGCCTGAAGGAACAGCACGAGGCAGTGCAAGGGCAGCACCGGAGATATTGTGGCTTTCTCTGTCACACCCAGTGTCGATCACTTGTGGAGATAGTCCTGCTTGGATTGCTTCCTTTCTCCAAGTCAGGGAGCTGTGAATAAGACAGAGCACGGATGCCCTCCGGTGTGGCACAGGCAGCAAGGCATGGTCTCACCTGCAAGGTGCTACTCAATAAAACCATCAGCACGAGTGAGCAGAGAGGTGGTCTTCTCTACTCCACAGTCTTGAGAGCATCGCTTTGAGCAGCATAGCTCCATGAGCAAAGCCATCACGCTCTCCACAATGCGCACGTATCCTTCCTGCTGTTGGGCCACTCCTAGTTTGAAGATGTTGCTGACCTTTGTCGATCTTGGCGGTTGCCTGTATTGATGGGAAGTGTGATCTCCATTGGTAGGAGAAGCTGGTGGTGAAGTGCAGGCTTTCCTTGGTGTAGAGGGTCCTGCTCCCCTGAACGCTGCACAAATCAAGCAGAAGGCCCAGTGATTCCTCGTAGCTTAGACTGTCTCAGCGATGAACATCCTTCCCTGGGGGCTGAGACATGGTGAGGAAGGCAGGGAGGGAGAGAGCAGGTTGAATCCTGGGCTCTGCGTCACTCCAGTTATGGAGCTCAAGGGTAGGGAGATGCAATCGCTTCACAGCAGATCGAAGGGATGGGGCTATGGAGGTTGGTGGGGGGGTGGCAGGAGCTACAGCTTTCACTTGATGGGCTTACTGGAGAAGGGTGACAGGTTAGGAGAGATCGGTGGGTCGATTCTCCCCTCCCCGAATAGAGTTACAGGGTTATGAGTGATGGGGTGAAATTACAGAGGGGAAGCTGTAACCTGAACATCGCTGGCAGCTTCAAGTCGAGACTGCTGAGGGTGGGGGTGTCTCCTCAAAGGAAGGAGCAGTGGTAAGAGCCTGTTCCTGGAGGCATTGGTAGCTGCTGGATCCAAAGCTGCTGGGGACAGTCACTCTGGGCTGCATCAGTGAGTTTTTCTGCTTCTGCCCCTTTGCAGCAGAGGACAGTCGAGGAAGGTGTTGGCCTTGAACCTGGGGGGCTGAGCTGGGTGCTGTGCTGTGACCCATCTGTGTGACTGCGGGGCATCACTTACCCGGCTCTGTGCTGCTGTGGGGATGTGTGGCTGCGGCACGTGCTGGCACTGCTGTGTGGCTTTGCGTGCCTGGCACAGGCACTGGCAGCAGAGAGATCCAGCTGGTGACCATGTCTGCTTTGCTGCTAGAAGCCCGTGGCTTCCCACAGTTTTCTCATGGGATCATAGAATGGTTGGGGTTGGAAGGGACCTCAAAGATCATCTAGTTCCAACTCCACTGCCATGGGCAGGGACACCCTCCACTACACCGGGTTGCCCAAAGCCTCATCCAACCTGGCCTTGAACACTTCCAGGGATGGTGCAGCCACAACTTCTCTGGGCAACCTGTTCCAGTGCCTCACCACCCTCACAGTGAAGAATTTCTTCCTTATATCTAATCTAAACCTCCCCTCTTTCAGTTTAAATCCATTGTCCCTTGTCCTATCACTACACGCCCTTGTAAAAAGTCCCTCTCCAGCTTTCTTGTAGGTCCTCTGTAGATACTGGAAGGCTGCTAGAAGGTCTCCCTGGAGCCTTCTCTTCTCCAGGCTGAACAGCCCCAACTCTCTCAGCCTGTCTTCATAGCAGAGGTGTTCCAGCCCTCACAGCCCAGGACACAGTTGGCTTTCTGGGCTGCCAGCACACGTTGCCGGCTCATGTTGAGCTTCTCATCAACCAACACCTCCAAGTCCTTCTCAGGGCAGCTCTCAGTCCATTCTCTGTGCAGCCTGTACTTGTGCTTGGGATTGCCCCGACCCACGTGCAGGACCTTGCACTTGGCCTGGTTGAACTTCTTGAGATTCACACAGTCCCACCTCTCAAGCCTGTCAAGGTCCCTCTGGATGGCATTGTCCATAACGATGCTGGCTGAAGCTGCCTCAGGGATGCTTTTCTGTGCTGCAGACCCATGCAGGGGTGGAGGTTCTATGGGGCAAGCCTGGTACCCATCCGTTCTGGGGAGAAGGGATCTTCCTGTCCCACAGGAGTGTTGGAGTAGGGCAAAATGAATGCTTTAAGGACAGTAAAGCACTCCAGCAATACAGGGGAGAGGATGGGGTATGCACCGTGGAGCAATGGCTGAGCTTTTGGAGGAGCTGTGAACAGCAAGGGCTGGAGAGAGGCAGTGTGTCAGCATTCCTTACGGCCATCATCATCCCTGGGGGGGGACCTTGCCCCTGCGCTGCCAGGTCAGGACGCTCAGTAACTGTCACCACCTTTCCCTGCTTTGTTTCCTGGAGGATCGTGAAGATGTCCAGCCCCAACCTGAACATTGTGACCCTGCTGGGCAGTGGCTTGACTTACACTAGTGCTTACCTCTTTGGGATTCAGGAGCAGAGCCTGCCATCTGGAGACTCCGTGGAAAAGCTTATTCAGGTGAGTAGCGGGGGGTTTGCTGGGGCAGGTGCCTACACACACAAACGTGTGGGTACACGCACACACAGGTGCTGTGAGGCTGCAGACGAGTTTTTTGGCTGCAAAGCAGATCTATATCAAAACGCTGACCTGTGTGATGGACCCCCGTGTCCTGACCTGGGGCAGCTGCTCTGCCAGACCGGGGACACGGTTGGGTGGGGAAATGGGACGTGGGGGACAGCGTACCCTGCTGTCCTGCTCAGCCGCGATGCTGAGGGCAATTAATGGGGGGGCCAGTGAGGGGCTGAGCCCCTCCATCCCCCTGCCACTTGCAGGCTGCCGAGCTCTCCCTGCCTGCTCCTCCAGCGAGAGCCTCCCGGGATGGGGAGCAGAAGGCAGGCAGCAGGCATGCCTGCGGAGCTATATGCGCCTTTGAATTTATTTTGCCCTGCAGTCAGCTTTCCAGTGTCCAATATGGCCCTCCAGAAGCCCATAGACACATCTGCACCCATCTCTATGGCATCCCCGGGTGGGAGGGCGTGGGGTGTCCCTGCGAGCCCCACAGCTGCCCCTCAGCCCCCCGGCTCTGCCCTTCCCTGGCAGGTGCGGCTCTGCCTGCTGTGCGTGGGGACCTCCCTGGTGTTTGGCCCCGTCCTGGGGAAAAGCTGGCGGCTCTACAGGGTG